GAAAACAAAAAGCAGTTCATCACGAAACTTTCCTGTTCGATAATTAATTACGATTTATATTTACGTGATGGCTAAGTGGCCATCTAGCTTCTAATAACTCAAATTTCAAATTCAAAAACCCTCAATACATAAAGAGCTAATGACCTTCAAACGGCTAAACACGTTTTCTCGAAACATAGCTAAGAATATTCTTGATTAAGACACCTTTCAAACGAAAAAAAATTTAATCAAATTCGGTTCATCTATTCAGGAGCTATGGTCCCAGATACACACATACACGCAGATACACACACATACACACGAACACCTTTAAACACCCCTTTGTTATCATCAGGGGTTATATAGCCGCTTAATGCTGCTGTGTTTCGTATGGTGAGTGTAGAGAACCGCAAACCGTTTTTATTGGAAAGGAGGCATTCCATCTCAGTCCTCAGGGCTGGCAACGCATCTGCATTTTGATTCATAATTGAAAATAAATGTAAATGTCTATGGGCCGCAGCATCCACTTACCATCAGGTGGACTGTGTACTCGTTTGTCACCCCTATCATATAAAAAAGTTTAAGAGATACCAGCGGAAAATTAGCAGCTTTGTTTCGTATAGTGAGTGTAGACAAACGGAGATCTTCTGTTACAGGAAACGAGGCATTTTATCTTAGTCCCAAAGGGTGACAACGCTTTTCATTCTTAATCGGAGATAAATGTAGATGTATATATATTGGTTACAGTATCCACTTACCGTCAGGTTGACTGTGTGATCGTTTGTCACTCTTAATCTCCGAAAAAGTTTACGTTTCGTTTATAGTTATAAAAAGAAATGATATGTTTACGTGTTAGAGACCTTTTGTAACGTTTTGTCCCAATAGTGGCGTAATTAAACTTAAAAAAGTAAAAAGCAATTTCAAATAAATTATAGACTGTGGCCTGTATCTATCTCGAGCTTAAACTCAAACTCCACAATGACATAATGTAAGTCTAAATTATACAGTGATATATTTTTTACCGACCGTAGATCGTTATTTAGAGACAGTCTCGAAATGATAAAATTTGAGTCTAGGTTGCAGGAAATGTCAAAATAAATTGTGTATTACTTTAAACTCTAAGTTTAAAACTCGAATAATTGTAACCTCGACTTCGGCAGCCATTTTGTAGAACTTTTTTGTTTTTAGTTCTTTTAGGTTGTTTTACCTCTTTATAAAATTTTGGTCTTTGACTAGACTAAGGAATATTATACACAAGTGAACTAAAACAACAATGCTTTTTAATAATTATATTAAGATTTCTATATTAAGATTTAATAATAGTTATAATTACAATATATATTTTTTAATTATAGTATATAAATTTTTCCACCTTGTAGGAGGTGGAACTTTTACGTTAAATTTTTGTTTTTGATATATCTCACAGCCGCATCTTTTTTTAACCATGGGAATGATATGCATCGTACTTTAACCATGGAATAGCTTAACGTTTATTAATTTGTTTATTTGTTTAACAATTTATGTACACTCAAAGTAATGGTACAATGAAAAAAAAATTAGTACAAAGGCACTGCTTATTTCATATTGAAATTTCTTTCAGCAGGCCTGATACTGCAAAGATTCAAGGAGAAGCGGATTTAGTGTGCAATCTCGTAGTATATAAAATAAAATACATATATATAAATATATATATATATATATACATATATATATATATATATATATATATATATATATATATATACAAGTCACGTAAGAGCCGTGGTAGCTCAGTGGTTAACGCTCGCTGTAAATATAACAGAACGCGAGTAACCAGGGTTCGATCCCCGCCGGCATCAATGAAATTGTTAATTGCAGTTTTAAGTGATGATTTACCACGTGCTCGGCGGTGAAGGAAAACATCGTGAGGAAACCTGCATGTCTGAGGAATAGGAAAAAAAATATTTCTAAGACATGTGAAGTTCGTCAACACGCATTTGGGCAGCGCGGCGGACACTTACTTGCCCTAAACCCTCTCAGAAATAAGGGGAGGCCTGAGCCCAGCAGTGGGACGTATATAGGCTGTAACTTTACTTCACTTTTTATACAAGTCACACATTAGATCATTGGGACGACAAAGAAAGATAGTGCTCTTTAACTCGCCTTTTAAACACTTATAATGTTTATGTGTAGTTGTGGTGTAAGAATATCCACTAGGTCATATCATCACGTGGATGTCGTAAGCTCGTAAGAGGCGACAGGGGGAAACTAACCAGGAGATGGGCAGTAGAGTCTTTTTTTTTTTTTATAGAAGAAGGGGCAAACGAGCATGCGGCTCACCTGATGTTAAGTGACTACCGCCGCCCATGATCAACCGCAACACCAGGAGAATTGCGAGTGCGTTGCCGGCCCTTTAGAAAGGAGTAAGCTCTTTTCTTGAAGATCCCCAGGTCGTATCGGTCCGTAAAAATCGCCGGTGGTAAACTATTCCACAGAGAGGTTGTACGTGGAAGAAAACTCCTTGTGAAACGTACAGTGGTGGACCGCCAAGCATCCAGATGGTGTGGATGGTATCGGGACGTTTGACGTGTCGTGCGTTCACGAAATTTAGCGGCTGGGATTAATCCGAACAATTCCTCAGAGCACTCCCCGTGATAGATGCGATAAAATACGCAAAGAGATGCAACATCTCTTCGCAGCGCCAGTGAATCGAGCCGATCGGAAAGCACTCGGTCGTCGACGATTCGAGCCGCTCTGCGCTGGATGCGGTCAAGTGGAAGAAGCTGGTACTGGGGAGCCCCAGCCCAGAGATGGGAACAGTATTCCATGTGCGGCCGAACCTGCGCCTTATAAAGTTGCAGGCGGTGTGCCGGCATGAAATACTGTCCCGCTCTGCTGAGCACGCCAAGCTTTTTAGAGGCCAATTTGGCCTTCCCTTCCAAGTGACCAAGAAACTGCACGTCACTCGATATGTCGACGCCGAGGATTCCGATACTGGCTGAGGCAACAAGGGGAGTGCCTTGAAACTGAGGGGATACGACAAAGGGGTTCTTTTTAGCGGTTAACGTGCAAACTTGTGTCTTCTGGGGGTTAAACTGGACTAGATTTAGTCGCCCCCCAATCCGAGACTCTGTCCAGCAGAGACTCGACTTCAGACACAAGTTTGTCCCGGCACTCGGAGACGTTTTCCCGAGAAATATTGGCTCGGCCGGTGTAAAGAGCATCACCAGTGCTGTCATCTGCATAGCAATGAATGTTACGGGTATGCAACATGTCATTGATATGCAGAAGAAACAGCGTTGGCGATAGCACGCAGCCCTGTGGAACACCAGCATTAATAGTCTTCCCAGTAACGACCAAATATGAAAGCTGCGGTTGCCATTCAACTTGCCAAGCGTTGCTGCTATACCAAATATCCCCTATGAGGTAATTTAAGAGAAGGCCTATATTTAGCAGTGGATTTTAATAGGCCAGTAACGGTTACGGGGAGATAGTCTTACGTCTTCACTACACGGTAATTTTTACGTATCAGGAGATCATGATTCGTAATCAACTTACCTGCGGCTGAGTGGTGGGTGGAGGCGTTATTGGGTTGGTAATATCCCTTGTGTCTGGTGGAAGACAGCACGTGTCCATATAGGAGGCGCAAGGGCCGTCGCGAAAACTGGAACAAATATATTTGTAATCAATAGCTACCATTGTTAGTAGAATCGGGTTTTACTTTACGGACATCCATTCTATTGAAGTTTTGAAGAACTGAGGGAGGGTGGGAGTTGCTCTTCAAACTGACAATCATTTGTCATCATTTCATTACATCACGCGGAAATAAGCAGATTAAATTCCAAAAATTTCAATAAAAGCCGAAGCTAAAAGCCAATTTCCGGATCATGACTCAACGTAAAATCTAACTGAGGTGCACGGTCTTCACGACAGTATAGTTTCCTACTACACTAGTCCGGTTGTGTTTTTTAAAGATTAAGGGTATTAAACGAGCACCCAGTCCACCTAATGATAAGTGGTCACTGTTGCCTATAGATATCTACGTATATTCTCAATTAAGAATCAAAATGCAGATGCGTTGTCAACACTGAGAACTATGTTGGAATGCCTTGCATCCTGTTAATAGAGTCTCCGGTTCTCTACACTCGCCATAGGACTACGATCTCACAGAAAACCAAAGTAAAATAGCAGCTTGATGCTGCTGTGTTTCGTATTTGAGTGTAGAGAACCGGAGACAATTTTTAGTGAAAACCAGGCATTCCCACATAGTCCTCAATCGCTTCTGCATTTTGATTCTTAATCGAGGATAAATGTAGATGTCTATGGGCCACAGCATCCACTTACCATATGTGCGCTCATTGGTCACCCTTACTCTATTTAAAAAAAAACAGTCCAACCAAGTACGGCACGGCAGTAGACGGTTAGAGACAGATAAAAAACAAGATTTTTTTGTGTGTCTCATTCGGGTATGTTCATGTAAAAAAATAAGAGTTTAAAAAACTTAAACCACACGCATTGATCATGAGGTATGATAATCCTGATAACTATATTATTAGATCCTGGTGATCTTGATCAGGATACTGGGATAAAGTTAATAAATTATTACGTTATCATCGATCCTTGATACGAGAGCAAATTTTCCAGTCAATCAACCGTCTACAAGTTGGTGAAAATTACATTAAAATATTCCTGTTCATAGATACATGCAAGAAAAGCTTATAAAAGCTTGTTAAAACTCGTGGCGCTTTGGTTAACATTTATATTTTTAAAGGTACGTTTTAATATGTCAGATGTCGTAATACTTTGCCAATTCCATAGTTGATGTCAACGATACTCTCCTGATGAAGTTCCCTGGATAGCATAGGTTCACAATTGGGGACGGCGCTGTTGACAAGATCCAGAAATCACCCATGGAAAGACGAGGCGGATCGCTGGTAATAGAAAAAAATGTGACTTCTTCTCCAAATGAGGTACAAGGCTAAGGGCCTAAGGGAACCTATGTTCAGCAGTGTATGAATGATAGACCGTATGGGTATACTCACCGAATATCAATGATATCAATACCGTCAGTGATGGCGGAGTTGTTTGCGTTACATAAATAGTATCTGACGCATTCGCCTATTCTGCCGTCCTCCATCTTGCAGCTCTTGTCGCCAACTAGAAGAAATAATAATAACAATACATTTATTTGTCGTTTGGGTCTTAAATTATATATAGTAAAGAAGAGAATAGAATGGAATATTATAGAAGAAGATTTTCACATGAAACTTATTGAAAGTCATTATTTATTTACCACTGGTTCGGAAAATATGATATTTGAACATATTTTTTATAGAATAAGGGTGACAAACGAGCACACAATCCCGGTAAGTGGATGCTGTGGCCCATAGACATAGATTTAACTTCGATTAAGAATCAAAATCCAAACAAGTTGTCACCCCTGAGGACTACTAATTCTCTACTAGGTCTGCGATTCTCTACACTCAACATACGAAACGCAGCAGCGTTAAGCTACCAATTTTATAATTCCAAGTTTCTTCTACCTTTTGAGTGGACAGGAGGTGGAAGAAGCATTAAGTTGCAGTAAAAACTTTATACACTATTTTGCCGCCAGTAGGGATGGAATTTGTTCTTCAAACTTATATGGGACCACCCCTTAAGTGTAAACAATTTAATAAATTAAAGAATTATCAAATACTAATTTTTAGCACACAGTCCACCTGATGGTTAGTAGTTGCTGTAAAGTAAAAAGTAAAGTTACAGCCTATATGCGTCCCACTGCTGGGCACAGGCCTCCCCTTATTTCTGAAAGGGGTTTTAGGGTAAGGAAGTGTCCGCCACGCTGCCCCAACGCGTGTTGGCGAACTTCACATGTCTACGAAATATTATTTTTTCTTATTTCTCAGACAGGCAGATTTCCTCACGATGATTTTCTTCACCACCTAGCACAACACTTAAAATTGCAATAACAATTTAATTGGTGCCGGCGGGGATCGAACCCGGGCTACTCGCGTTCTGTTATATTTACAGCGAGCGTTAGCCATCTGAGCTACCACGGCTGCTATGTGTGTGTAAAAATCCGGACAGACCAGCGAAGCTTAGCCAGACGTTTTGGTAAAAATGCCGGACACCCTTAACTTCTTCTTAGTATAACATTATTAAAGTAAAACAATGCTTTTTATCACTTACTATTATACAGATCATAAATAAGACTTAAAGTTACTCTTTTGTTTAATTTACCTTGGTTCGGAAACTTTACCTTTGTCTTAAGAAGAACCAGCAAGAAAAGCAGCAGGACTTTTTTTAAATTAAAATAGTACACACATTTTTTTATGGGATAGGGTGACAAAAGAGCACACAGTCCACCTGATTGGTAAGAGGTTGCTGGGCAAACATCTACATCTATCTCTCTCAAAATGCAGATGCGTTGTCACCCGTGAGGATTAAGATGGAATGCCTCGTTTCCAGTAAAAAGTTACACTCACCATACGAAACACAGCAGCATTAAGCTACTATTTTACGCTGGTATTCTGTAAGAGCGTGGTCCTTCCCCGGTCGAGCCGACCCATTCGTGCTTCAACTATATTACTAATATAACGACAGCATGGCTCTACCACGTATAATAACTCATTCCTTCCTCCTCGTTCCATCATCAGACAATCAAACAGTCGCCGAGTCTCCACCAGTTTGTTATCGATATCTCACGCATTCGAACCAAATGGTTTGCTTAGTCTTTTGTAATCCATACGAGAAAGGAGTGGAATAATGCACCGACGTTTGTATTTCCGTCTGAATACAATCTGGGCGTCTTTAAGGCAAGATCGAATAGCTTTTGTTACGCTAAGAGATAATAGCGAAAACGATTTTCGTACTTGGCCACTATAAGGAGGAGTTACTTGTGCATTACGGGGAGGCATGTTCAGCGGGACTTGTGAAGGCTGTAATGACGATGATGATATATAAGATATTGCGATTTATATACTTACCAGCAGGCGGGACTTTGGTCAAGAATGGAAAAGGGGAGATCTCCCGCCGGGACAAGGTGATTAGTTTCGAGATCGGCCAATGCACCATGTGTTAGTACAGAGCTATTCTATGTATACCGCAGTGTAGCACAGACTCGGTAATACATTCTTGAGGCAATGTATACGCTTTTACATCAAAGTCCCAGAAAATATACAAGGTCTCTTTATTACCAAGTTTGCATATTTGATTAAAAAAGTGTATGAAAAATGATATTATGTAAATGAAAATATGGTTGATAATAAACCCTGGAAATGAGGTGATCGCCTTCAAGCTGTTTCTAAAATAAATTTTGTAAATAGTTACTTTAAAAATAAGTTCCGCTGGGTATCTTATTGGTTCTTCCCAGGATAGAGGTTTCTTTCTTAACCAGTGGTAAAAGTAAAAAATGACTTTCAAGAAGAATTTAGAAGAACATACATGTGATCTATACTGAATAAAAAATTATTCAATTCTGTTGTACTACGTCGGAACTTTGATAGCGCGATTTAGGCTTCCGTGTGTTTCGCTTGTAGTGCGACCACAAGAGCTTTGGGATTAATTATATGTTTTAAATAATAATAATTATTTTTAAAATTACGCAAGGATGATGGGCATAAAAGACATAATTATAGCGCCATCTATCGGAATTTATGACATATTATTGTAATCTAAGTTGTCCTTAATACACGAAATAAAATTTTCACTTACCCTCATTATCGGAAATCCTCCATACCAACGTTGAAGCTTGAGGTAAGGGGTTCGCTGTAGTCTGGCTGTTGGGGTTTCCGAAAATGTGTTTAAACACTGAATCCAGGTCACCCAACTCACCTTGCCCCCGGCAGAAAGCCAGAAGGGTAACAAATATTAAAATCCGCATCATCTACAAATTAATTTATTTAATAAATACTGTGTATTTGGCAATATGTTTAGCAATACTTTTTGTAATCGCTTTTGGTTTTTTAGGTTTATTTTTAATATCCTTGATTAAGAATCAAAATGCAGATGCGTTGTCATTCGTGAAGACTAAAATGGAATGCCTCGTTTCCAGTAAAAAGGGTCTCCGGTTACCATACGAAACGCAGCAGTAATTGGGTTGCAGTCACAATTTGCAACAGACACAAAAAATCGGTTAATAATAAGTTGAAGTTTCTTACATTCTATAGCGGCATAGCTACAACATTTAAATTTCTGTTAATATACAAAACAAGCGATCCGCACTGGTTCGCACGTGTGGTTTATGGATCTCGACAACAGCGTCGCCTACGGGATACAAATGTGAATATAAACCGTCTAAAGAAAATAAAATTTATCAAAATCGGTTGGATGGTTTCAAAGTCTATAACGGACATAGGTAAAACATTTTTTGTGTTTTATATATTAACTAGTGATCCGCACGGGTTCGCACTGTTGATTTCTGAATCTCTACAACAGTGCCACCTACCGGATACAAATGTGAATATAAACCATCTAGAGACTAATTAAAACACACAAATAAATTTATCAAAGACGATTGGATGGTTTAAAAGTATAACAGACTTAGGTAGAAACATTTCTTGTATTTTGCATAGATAGATTAAAATCTATAGAACGTAAGTGTCTTTAAACACTAACTTGGCTATTTTTCAACAGGTAAATAAAAACTAAATTTAAAGAAAAATAACAAATAAAATATGGACTTAAAGTAATGGAATTCAATGTCTAGACTAGAACAAAAAAGTTAAATGTGACTTGCTCTCTCGCTTCGTTAAAATCTCACGAGGTTAAAACTATTAAGATTGTAATGACGATGTCGACGAGTGAATATCGGGTTATCGGTCTAATAAAACTAAATGTAATATATGTGTTAACCATCTAGAGACTAATTAAAACTCACAAATAAATTTATCAAAGTCGATTGGATGGTTTCAAAGTATAACAGACTTAGGTAGAAATATTTCTTGTATTTTGCATAGATAGATATAATCTATAATGATTTCTTAAATTTACGCGAACACTACACATTGAATAAAACTATTATTTACGGATTTTATCGCGTTTAATTACTTTAATTTATTTTTATTATTATCCCGACGTTTCGGGTGCTTTACAGCGCCCATGGTCACGGGGGGACTGAGATGTTTGACGTCCCAATGTCATAGTTAGTCCGGCTACCTTCAGTTTTTTAATATTAATTTTTGGTCCGATTTACGCAAAACGAGCTTATAGTATCATGAAGTCTTGCAGTGGTATGCTTGGGTTTGGGTTTAATTTTGTTGATTATAGGATCCCAAGCAGATGGTAGCACCCAACCATCTTCTCTATTGAAATTTGGATGTTTTTTAATTTCAATAGCCTCGCGTATCATCCTTGGTAGGAATCGGTGTTCTTTTGCGAGAATTTGTGGTTTATCAAATCTAATGTAATGGTGGGGACGATCTTGAACATGTTCGCAGACTGCAGACTTCCCGGAGCGTCGGTGCTTCACATCAGCTATATGTTCCTTCACGCGGGTTTTTATAGATCTCTTTGTTTGACCTATGTAAGAGAGACCACATTCACAATCTAGCTTGTACACACCTGCATCTTGTAGAGGAATATTACATTTGATGGATGGTAAAAATTGACTAATCTTCTTCAGCGGCTTGTAGTATGTCTTAATGGACGCTCGCTTCAAGATGTAGCCAATCTTGTCCGTGACTCCTCCAACATATGGTAGTAGAGCAGGTGCGCGCTCGACTGTTGCCGGCTTCACTCGTTCACTGTGACGTAGGCGCGGGACCCGAAGCTTGTTGTCTTGCAATACTTGCTTGACGTGCTGAAGCTCCGCGGCCAGATGTTTTCTGTCACAGATCCCTCGTGCTCTCTGAGACAAAGATTTACCCACGGTAGCTAACTGTGAAGGATGATGGTGAGATTCACCATTTAGATATCGGTTGGTATGGGTCTTTTTCCTATACACAGTGTGACCAATAGTGTTATCAGGATTTCGGATGACTAAAACATCTAGGAAAGCTAAAGAATTATTTGCCTCTAACTCCATTGTGAATTGTATTTTAGAGTTTATGGAGTTAAGGTGGTCTAAAAAATGCAGTTACTTTGTCGGGATAATCATCATCATCATCATCATTACAGCCCTTCACAAGTCCACTGCTGAACATAGGCCTCCCCCAAGTAATGCCACAAAGCACGGTCCTGAGCCACCTGCATCCATCGACTTCCTGCATGTCTTACCAGGTCGTCACTCCATCTAGTGGGGGGTCGCCCTACACTACGCCTACCGGTACGAGGCTGCCACTCGAGAACCTTTCTTCCCCATCGGTTATCGGTTCTTCGAGCTATATGGCCGGCCCATTGCCACTTCAGCTTACTAATCCGTTGGGCTATGTCGGTCACTCTGGTTTTACTGCGGATATCCTCATTTCTGAGTCTATCACGCAGAGAAACTCCGAGCATAGCCCTCTCCATAGCTCGCTGAGCGACCTTAAGCGTCCTCATACGGCCAGCAGTGAAGGACCACGTCTCAGATCCGTAAGTCATCACTGGCAACACGCACTGGTTGTACAATCTAGTTTTTAGAGATTGAGGTATACCTGACGAAAAGATATGCCGTAATTTCCCGAACGCTGCCCAGCCGAGTTGAATCCGTCGATTGACCTCTCGGTCGAAGTTGGACTTACCTAGTCGGACTATTTGTCCCAGGTAAACGTATTCGTCAACAACTTCGAGCATAGTGCTCCCAACAACTACCGGCATAGGTGTGACATGGACATTGAACATGATCTTTGTTTTGTCCATGTTCATCTTAAGACCTATCCGTTGGGAGGCACTATTGAGGTCATTGAGCATAGTGCTTAAGTCCTCCAGCGATTCTGCCATAAGGACTATATCGTCGGCAAATCGAAGGTGAGTGATGTACTCGCCATTGATGTCAATACCGTATCCTTTCCAGTCCAGTAGCTTGAAAACGTCTTCCAATGCAGCGGTGAAGAGTTTCGGGGATATAACGTCACCCTGTCTTACACCTCTCTGCAGTTGGATAGGTTTCGAGCTCTGGTTCTGTACTCGGATAGCCATCGTAGCCCTACTGTACAAACACTTCAGCACTTCGATATACCGACAGTCAACTTGGCACCGCTGAAGGGACTGTAGCACCGCCCAAATTTCGACGGAATCAAAGGCTTTCTCATAGTCCACATACGCCAGGCAAAGTGGCAGATTGTACTCTTCAGTCTTCTGTACAATCTGCCGCAGGGTATGTATGTGGTCTATGGTACTGAAGCCTTTTCGGAAACCGGCTTGTTCGGGAGGCTGGAAGTCGTCAAGTCTGCGTGCGAGACGATTCGTAATGACTCTCGAAAACAGCACGTAGACGCGGCTCAGAAGCGAAATCGGTCTGTAGTTCTTTAAGAAAGCGTTGTCGCCTTTCTTAAAGAACAAGACCACCGCACTTCTGCTCCACGCCTCTGGAGTAGTGCCACCATGGAGGACGGAATTGAAGAGCTTCTGAAGGACTTCAAGTACCGGTGTTCCACCCGCTTTCAGAAGCTCCGCTGTAATTCCATCCTCGCCTGGGGCCCTGCCGTTTTTAAGGTGCTGGAGAGCCATTCTAATCTCGCTTAGACTGACGTCCGGGATATCATCGGAATAGTGTCGGATAAGACTTGCTCTTGGATCGTTACTCACACTTGCGTGTGGCTCCAACGATGATGTGTACAGCTGCCCATAGAACCTCTCAATCTCACTCAAAATCTCAGGTGTCCCGGAAACGATGTTGCCACACTCAGTCTTCAGCCTTGACAGTTGGCTCTTTCTGGCAGACAGATCTCTGGCAAAGACTTTGGAGCCCTGGTTCCGCTCGATCGCTTCTTTAATACGAGAAGTATTAAAGTTGCGTAAGTCTCGCCGTATACATTGGAGATCTGTCTGTTCAGTTGCCTGTATGCTGTCAAATCTGTTGACGATTGCAGCCTCATCTCCCGTCTAACAGCCATGAGATTAAGAGTGTGATCGGAGAGTTTTTGTGTTCTTCTGCGGCGGGTCTTGCAGAACTTAGCTCCGACCGCATGGACAGTTTCCACGAGCTTGTCGTTCATATCGTCCACTGCATTGCAATCTTCTAGGCACTGGAAGCGGTTACGTAACTCGAGCTGAAAGGTTTCGGGATTCTGGATTAGAGCACGAGGGGGGACGGAGCGTTGACTTCATTAGACGAGACCTCTCCAACTTAACGTTTAGGTTCAGTGTGCCTCTAACCATTCGGTGATCGCTGCCAGTTTTCACCCTTGCGATCACTGAGACATCACTGAACAGTTGGCGTCTGGTCGTCATAATGAAGTCAATCTCATTTTTTGTCGAACCGTCGGGGCTCGACCAGGTCCACTTCCTGTGGGGCCGCTTCTGGAAGAAAGAGTTCATCATAAAGAGTCCCTCTTTCTCCATAAAGTCGGCCAGCTGCTGGCCCCTTCGGTTCCGTTGCCCCTACTCCAAATTTCCCTACCTTCAGCTCACCGCTTTCTCTTGTGCCCAGTTTTGCGTTGAAGTCTCCCATCAACACCGTGTAGTAGGTTTTGGAGGAATGTATGGCTCTGGAAATATCCTCATACATTTCCTCCACCTCCTCATCGGGATGTGCCGAGGTTGGTGCGTAAACCTGAATGACCTTCAGCGAATACCGTTTGGTGATTCTGAGTATCAGGTACGCGACCCTCGTCGACACACTCCCAATCTTTACAACGTTGTTGACGAGAGATTTGTGGACGATAAATCCGACACCTCCTTGGGACAGATGGTCGCCCTCCCGGTGATAGAACAAGTTGCCGGACTCGAGGATTGCCGTGTCCTCCCCCTCTCTTCGGACCTCGGATAATCCAATAATATGCCAGCGCAACTTGTCTACCTCTT